ACTACTACTACTACTACTACTACTACTACTACTACTACTACTACTACTACTACTACACTACTACTACACTACTACTACTACTACTACACTACCACTACCACTACCACTACCACTACCACTACCACTACCACTACCACTACCACTACCACTACCACTACCACTACCACTACCACTACCACTACCACCAGGACTACTACTACGACGACTACTACTGCTACTACTATACGTGCGTCGCTCCCCCAGAGGCGACGCCCGCACCGATAAATCTTATAGTATATGCGTCGTTTTGGGGCCTTCGACCTTCCTTGATATTCGGGGGCGAGTGGGGTTAAATCGGGCCTGTCCCTCTACAGGGTGATTGTTCAAAAATATTCAAACATATTTCAAACATGGTCAGGGGGCGATTTTGGGAGTATGTTTTCACTTTTGTTGAGTTTGTTTTGTGTGTGGCTATATTTAAATTTTCCTTCCAAATCCGCCTGTAGGAGGACATGCCCAACCTAAGAGTAGGGCCGCGGGTCAGAGAGCGCCTCCTTCTGCAGGACCACCAAAAAAGGGACGTCCAGGTGGTCAAACGCATCGCCGGTTAAGCCGACGAAGATATGCAAAGTCCAACCTTTCGCCGCTTATGTCCAACATTTTTGCTTAACGCCGGGCGTGGTGTGTCAGGTTCAGCTTGACCGAACGGGTTGATTACGCACCTTGACGTCCGTCTGAGATGTTCTGCAGACCAGACCCCCAGCCCTACTCAACCTCGGGAGCGGCCACTCACCACCCACCAAACCACCCCAACCCAACCCGAAGGCCTCAACTTGCCCTCCATTTCCCGGGGGGGGGGTCGGGGAACATTGAAAAAACACATGGAACCCGTACCCCCCTCCCAATCCGCAATTCGGGTCAAATTCGGGTCTTCGGGTTGGGTTGGGGTGGTCTGGTAGGTAGTCAGCCACGAGGGGGCGATGACTAGGGCCTCGTCCAGGGAGGCTCGACGGTCGAGGTTCGTCGGTGGCAATTCATGGGAGCCTGGTGGACCCTCTCAATGCCGTCTTCAGCGTCGATTTGGCGTCGGTTAGCGTCGATTTTGAGTCGATTAGCGTCAATTCGCAAGAGCCGACACGCTGGTATGGGAGGCTCCCATGAGTCGCCGCCGACAATTTATCTGGCTTTTTCGCGGGTTGATGGAGGTTTTCCAGCCGCTGGATGCTTGCCAGCAGCGGCGCCACGCCGGGAGCGTTCCTGGGGCGCCCAGATCGTCCCGAACGGCCGCTGGAGGCTCGAGTTATGACCCGAAAACCACCAGGCATCGAGAAGGGGGGTGATGACTATGGGGGGATCGTGGTCGGAACCATGACATCGCCCAGATTTCATGGCCCTTCTTCTCATTTCAGTGTGCCCCTTGGTCCCCCCCCTGGGCCGCGCACGTGCCTCGGGCCACGATTTGCGAACCCCACTCTTGGACGCCCCCCTCTTGGACGCCCCCCGAGAGATATGACTCAGAGGCCAGCAACATATGTACACGTACGCGGTTAGCTTCCCCTGGAGTGCGTGTCAACGCGGACGTTCGTGCAGGCAAGACCGCGGAGGGCGTACATGTACATATGTCGTTGCTCGCCCAATGACGCTGCAGGAGACCTGCAGCATCGCGAAGAAGCACGGCCAGAGCCCCACGGTCAGGAGCGCTTGGACAGCGTGCCGCTCCGCCAGATTTGGCCCGCCGTCCTTCGGCGCGACACGCTATCCATTTTCCAGTCCCCAGGCTTCAACGCCCCGAGCCTCTCCGAGCCCCTCGCCCCGCGGATCGGAGCGACACGCTGTCCCCTCGCACGGCAATAGCGCGTCGCCGGTGCCGCCGCCGCGGCACGCCAAGCAGAAGTTCCCGACTGCAGAGACCCCAGCTTCCAGCGCCGTGTTTCGAGCCGCATCGATCTGTGAGGGTTCCAGGGCCCACAGTCAGGCGCAGACGCCCGGCGCGACAAAAACTGCAGCGACCTCGGAGGCCACGTCATGGGCAGCAGGGGCCGGCGAAGAGGGCCAGCCACGCGCGGAGGGGGGGGTGGGGGGAGGGGGGAGGGCTTCTTAGCACCCTCGCTTCTTAGAAGGCGCGGGCCTTATCTAAGATGTAAGGCCGGCGCCTTCTAAGAAGCAGCCTCCTTCTAAGAAGCCCTCCCGTCTCCCTCCACCCCCTTGTTAGGGCGACGAAATCTATGCATATCCACTGCTGCTGGCCAGGCTCATCCGGGGCCCAGGAGTAGTGTATACGACCTCCTGGTTTGGCCAAAGAGGCGTATACAGTATTCCTAGCCCCAGGATGGGCCTGGCTTGCAGCAGTGGATATGTATAAATCTCGTCGCCCTACTTGTGCGCGCCGCCAAAAGGAGCCAGAAAAGGGCCCCAGAAGGGGCCCTCTTCGGGGCCCAGAAGGGGGCCTTCGGGGCCCGAACAGGGCACCTTTCCTCCCCTTCATTTTATCTCAGGAGGGGAAGAAACACACAGACACAATTAATCGTCTATCCCCAGGAAAGTATGGGAAAATATGGGAAGTTGTGGGGAAGACAAAAACTCAAAAAATATGAGAAAATATGGGGAATATTTTTATTTGTGTGTATTTATTTGTGTGTTTGTGGGCTTCTTCAGTATCGCCACCCCACGATACCCAGACCACCGACGTCGTGATTTTTTCGCGACGTCCACCCCCAGTGGTCCCGAGCCCTTCCCCGGGACCGGTTTTCCATGCTGAGGCGTCCTTTGGCGGTCCCAAAGGCCTGGTGAGGGCCCCCGGAGGCCGAAAACATGGCGAAAAGCTTCCCGTCGCGATTTTTTCCACAGCGCGAGGGGGTCTGGGCGTATCGCCCCCCCCCATGACTTCGCGCCCGACGCCCAGCTCTGCGGGTTCGGGTGCCTTCTGCGGCCTTCGGCGCCCTCCGGCTCTGCCCTCGGCGGCCCGCGGTGGCCCTTGGGGGCCTTCGGGCGCGGAGGCTCCGACGACGACGACGACGACGACGACGACGACGACGACGACGACGACGACGACGGCGACGATCACGACGACGACGACGACGGTGGCGGTGGCGGCGGCGGCGGCGGCGGCGGCGATGACGACGTCGTCCCCCGAGGAGGCAAGAGCTTCGCGCTCTGCTTGCGCGGAGCTCCTCCATCCTCGGGGGAGAGCCCGCGATTGGCTTCACGAAAGAATCGTTCGCTGCGACTTCTGGGATGAGGAGGAGGAGGAGGAGGAGGAGGAGGAGGAGGAGGAGGAGGAGGAGGAGGAGGAGGAGGAGGAGGAGGAGGAGGGAGGAGGGAGGAGGAGGAGGGAGGAGGAGGAGGAGGAGGAGGAGGAGGAGGAGGAGGAGGAGGAGGAGGAGGAGGAGGAGAGGAGGAGGGAGGAGGAGGAGAGAGGAGGAGGAGGAGGAGGAGGAGGAGGAGGAGGAGGAGGAGGAGGAGCAGGAGCAGGAGCAGGAGCAGGAGCAGGAGCAGGAGGAGGAGGAGGAGTTTCTTTTTCATCAGCGATGCTCCTGCCAACTCACGCCGACAGAGAAAAAGGCTCGACCTGGACCTGGGGAAACTTGGGGTGCCTTCCCTTGAGGAGGCCGGAGATCGAGGATGCAAGAGCTCCGCGCTCTGTTTGTGCGGAACTCTTCCATGCTCGGGGTTGGGCGAGCGCTTCGCTTGACAATACTGGTCGTTTGCTTTGTCTTTGCGTATGCATTGATGCCATTATTGTACTGTCGTGGTGGGGAGGGATTGGGGAGGGGGAGTAGTAGAAGTGGCAGTGGTAGGATGAAGAGTAGGATGATGATGCTGATGATGATGATGGTGATGATGATGAAGCTGATGATGCTGATGATGGTGCTGATGACGCTGCTGAAGATGCTGCTGATTCTGCTGCTGATGCTGGTGATGACGATGATGATCATGATGATGCCGATGCTGATGCTGATGCTGAAGAGGACGATGATGAGGATGATGATGATGATTCTGATGCTGATGATGACGATGGCGAGTATGAGAACGAGGATTGGGATGATGGTGAAGAAGAAGATGCTGCTGGCGATGATGCTGCTGATGATGATGATGATGATGAAGAAGAAGATGATGATGATGCTGATGCTGATGGTGATGCTGATGATGCTGATCATGGTGGTGGTGATGATGCTGATGCTGATGATGATGATGATGATGATGATGATGATGATGATGATGATGATGATGATGATGATGATGATGATGATGATGATGATGATTATGATGATGATGATGATGATGATGATGATGATGATGATGATGATGATGATGATGATGATGATGATGATGATGATGATGATGATGATGATGATGATGATGATGATGATGGTGATGATGGTGGTGGTGGTGGCGTTGGTTGTGGTGATGCTGGTGATGATGATGATGATGATGATGATGATGATGCTGATCATGGTGGTGGTGATGATGATAATGAGGAGGAGGAGGAAGAGGAGGAGGAGGAGGAGGAGGAGGAGGAGGAGGAGGAGGAGGAGGAGGAGGAGAAGGAGGAAGAGGCATGGTAAGAAGAAAAGGTGGACTCCTCCTCCTCCTCTTCCTCCTCCTCCTCCTCCTCCTCCTTCTTGTCCTCCTTCTCTCTTCTCTTCTCTCCTCTTCTGTCCTCTTTCCTCTCCTCTCTCCTGTCGCCTCTCCTTCCTACGGTTGCAGCCTGCGGCGACAGTGAGGAAGGTCAGTGCGACGTGGCAGCGCTGGAGGGAGGCGTGACCTACACGCACGTCGTCGCGGGAGGCTGCCCCACGGTCCCGCTCAGGAGCCACGGCACGGTTTCAGCTTGCGGCGACAAAGGAAGGCCAGTGCGACGTGACAGCGCTGGGGGGGAGGCCTGACCTACACGAACGTCGCCGCGGGAGGCTGCCACGCGCTCCTATTCAGGAGCGATGGCGCGGCCATTGCTTGCGGCTCAAACGAGATAGGCCAGGGCGACGTTGCAGAACTAGAGGGAGGCGTGACCTACACGCACGTCGCCGCAGGAGACTGCCACTCGATCCTGCTCAGGAGAGACGGCACGGTTGCAGGCTGCTGCCTAAACGAGGAAGCTCAGTGCGACGTGCTAGCGCTGGAGGGAGACGTGACCTACACCCTACACGAATGTCGCCGCGGAACGCTGCCACACGGGCCTGCTCAGGAGCGATGGCGCGGCCGCGTCTTGCGACCTGAAGAAGGCAGGCCAGAGCGACGTGCCAGAGCGTGAGGGAGGCGTGACGTACACGCACGTCGTCGCGGGAGGCTGCCACACGGTCTTGCTCAGGAGCAACGGCGCCTCCCAGCCTGCGGCTACAATCGGCTTGGCCGGTGCGACGTGCTGGCGTTGAAGGAGGCTTGAAATACCACGCGAGGCTGTTTTGAGTTCGGCTGTTCGCGCTGGAGGGAGGCTTGAAGTATCACGCGAGGCTGTTGTGAGTTCAGCTGCTCCTGCTGGCATCGACCGACGGCGGCTATCTGCGCTGTGGGACCTTGGGGCGGAGTGGAGCGCGGCCGACTCCTGGCCGCCCCTGGCGCTCCGCTCGCAGACCTGCACGATCAGTTGGTGGCCTTAAGTCGGGCATGCTCCTCTGCAGGAGGTATATACGAGAATAGTTAGAACATAGTATGGGAACGAATTTTCGTGCCCTTTTGATTTTTCACTAGATGAAAAACAAGCGTTTACAATTTTCCGAACCATCCTGTGTTGGGTCCTCGTTTTGAAGAGACGGGGCCCCGCGTTCCTCCCTCCCTCCCTCCCTCCTCCCCCTCCTCCCCCTCCTCCCTCCTCCCTGCGTTTCACCCACCCAGTACATGGTTTCGTGGGCCCATAGGGAGCTCCACCGAAGGCGCCAGTGCCACCGTCCATATGCGTCCCGGAACATCCAACTTGGCATTTTCACCCACCCAATGCCGCGTTTCGTGGCCCCATAGGGAACTCCACCGAAGGCCCCAGTGCCTCCGTCCGCATGCCTCCCGAAACATCACATTTGGCATTTTCACCCACCCAGTACAGCGTTTTGTGGCCCCACTCCACCGAAGGCGCCAGTACCACCGTCCGCATGCGTCCCGAAACATTGAATTTGGCATTTTCACCCGCCCAAAACAGCGTTTCGTGGCCCTATAGGGAGCTCCACAAAAGGTCCCAGTGCCACCGCCCGCATGCGCCCCGAAACATCCACTGTGGCATTTTCACCCAGTACAGCGTTTCGTGGCCCCATAGGGAGCTCCACCGAAGGCCCCAGTGCCACTGCCCGCGCGCGTTCCGAAACATCCAACTTGGCATTTTCACCCGCCCAAGACCGCGTTTCGTGGCCCCATAGGGAGCTCCACCGAAGGCCCCAGTGCCACTGTCCGCATGCCTCCCGAAAGAAACATCATGGCATTTTCACGCACACCCCGTACAATGTTTCGTGGCCCCATAGGGAACTCCACCGACGGCCCCAGTGCCGCCGCCCGCATGCGTCCCGAAACATCCAATTTGGCATTTCACCAACCCAGCACATCGTTTCGTGGCCCCATAGGGAGCTCAACCCAAGGCCCCAGTGCCACCGTCCGCATGCGCCCCGAAACATCAATTTTAGCATGTCCACCCACCCAAGACCGCGTTTCGTGGCCCCATAGGGAGCTCCACCGAAGGCGCCAGTGCCACCGTCCGCATGCGTCCCGAAACATCCATTTTGTTTTTTTCACCTACCCAGTGCAGCGCTTCGTGGCCCCATAGGGAACTCCACCGAAGCTGCAGTGCCACCGTTCGCATGCGTCCCGAAACATCACGTTTGGCATTTTCTCACACCCAGAGCAGCGTTTCGTGGCCCATAGAGAGCTCCACTGCAGGCTCCAGTGCCGCCGTCCGCGTGCGTCCCGAAACATCAAATTTGGCATTTTCACCCACCCAGTACAGCGTTTCGTTACCCCATAGGGAGCTCCACCGAAGCCACCAGTGAGACCGCCCGCGTGCGTCCAACACGCCCAACGTTGCATTTTCACCTACCCAGTACAGCGTTTCGTGGCCCTATAGGGAGCTCCACCAACGGCCCCAGTGCTACCGCCCGCATGCGTTCTCCCCCACCCAGTGCAATGTTTTGTGGCCCCATTGGGAGCTTCTTCGAAGAAGATATTCACAATTACGGTGCCCACAACTGCATATGATTAGGTCCTTCGCCAGTATAATTCTTCCAAGACCCGCCTGTAGGAGGACATTCATATTGACCGAGAAAGGGGTCCAGCGACAAGAGGGTGGTGCAATAGATTTGGTGCAATAGATTTGTGGGGCTGCAATACATCTGGGGCGTGCAATACATTGAGGGGCGCAGATTTATTGCTGGATTTTCGCGTGCAATTCGTTTCTTGCAGTGCAATGCAATACAATTCTCCGGCGCAGCTCGTTTGCAATACAATTGCCCCAAATCTATTGCACCACCCTCTTTCAGCTGGACCCCCTTTTGGGTCACCCGAAGACATGCCCGACTTCATGGTGGCCGAGCACTGCGCAGGCAGGCCGGGCCCCAGATTCGACTGGGCCGCCGTGCGGGCGGCTCCTGAGCACAAACAGCCTCGGCCGACGAGACCGTCGCGAGCGCTTTCGGGCCCTCCCCCTCTCACCCTCCTCCTCCTCCTCCTCCTCCTCCTCCTCCTCCTCCTCCTCCTTCTTCCGTAGCCATTTTGGCTCAAGTCCGTCCCCTCCGTGGGATCTCGGGCTTGGGCCGAAATGAGTTCCACAGCTATTTCGCCCAAGGCCCCCTGGCCGTGCGCCGCGCCGCCAGCGTTTGTGGCCGTCGGATCCGTATGTCCACGCGATGGCGCCTGCTGCCTCTGCTGCTGACGCTGTTCGTCATGCCGCACCGCAGGAGTGCTGACGCTCTGCATCGCCGCGCATGCCAAGCTCTGCAAGGCGGTCGCGGCCCAGCACGCGTTGGCAAGCGCCAGACTCTTCAACTACACGTTCTCCTTCCACACGTTGCTGCGCCTCCAGCCGCCTCGCGGGTGATTACTCCGCTGGGCACTTGCAGGGGCAACGAGCTGCCGCTGGTCGCGAACTTCTTGCAGCTGATTCGCGGGCGTCCTCCTGACGTTGCCCATGGTCCTGAAGTTCGGCCTCACCGATGCGAAGAGGCAGATGACGCACCAGCCCATGATGACCCTGCTCGTGCTGCTGCCGCCGAGGGCCGCCATCCTACGCGACACCATTCCGTTCTTCTGCATGTGCAACCCGTTCATGAATCCGAAGTCTGCCGCCCGGAGGGTGGCCTTCCTGACCTCCTGCAAGCTGTTCCCGCTCCTGACGCTCGCGCTGACACTACCGCCGGCGCTGATGGTGTTCTGCATTCCCGACCCGTTCAACGATCCGAAGTCCGCCGACCTGCTGGTGGCCTGCATGACCTACTTCTCGACGCTCTCCTTGCTGGTGCTGGAGACGCTCCTGCTGACGTCGCTGGAGACGGCGCCCCTGATAGTGCTCTGCATGAAGCTGCCGCTGCTGAATCCCGTCCCCGTGCTGTCGGTGTGGCTCTTGCTGCCCTACGCCCCCTTGTACGCGAATGGCAGCGCGTAGCACGGCGTAAGACGCTCCTCCAGAACAGGCCCTTCATCCGCTGCTTCGACGCGTGGTACGACCTCGTGTTCGAGACTACCCTGTCCACGGAGAGCGACCAGTCCGTCGGGGCGCCGTCCACAGGCCCAGAGTGCAACACGGAATGCCCTATGACGGGCCCTCCGAGTTCCACCCACTCCAGGACATCCAAGGTTGCTGGGACTGGAGAGCCTGACTATCCACAGGAGACTCTGCATGATGTTGCTCGTGCCGCCCCACAGCCAGGAGTGGTTGTCGCTGCTCGTCCCGTCCGTCCCCCAGACGAGCTGCATGATGCGGCTCGTGCCGTCCTGCCGCCTGGAGTGGCTGACGTGGCTCGTCTCGACCATCCCGAAGCAGCTCTGCTTCCTGCTCGTGCCGTTCCGCCGCCTGGAGTGGCTAGCGCTGCACACCACGACAACCACGAAGAAGCTCTGCATGTTGCTGCACGTGCCGTCCCGCCGCCTGGGGCTGCTGCGGCTCGCCCCGACCATCCCCACGGAGTGGCGCATGATGATGCTCGTGCCGCTTTGCCGCCTCGTGTGGCTTTTGCTGCTCGTCAAGCCATTCCCGAAGAAGCTCTGCATGCTGATGCGCGTGCCGTCCCGCCGCTTGGAGTGGCCGACGCGGATCGTCGTGACCATCCCGACGACGCCCTGCATGACTGGCCAGCTCCTGGCATGCCGTTCCTTCGCCGCTCGGACCTTCTGCAACTACGTGGCTGCAGTACGAATCTTGCGTGCTGTGTCGATGTTCTGTTGCAGCGTGCTGCTGAGCGCCAACATGGTGATCGTGGATTCTCGCCGCTCGGAGTGGCGTCTGAGGCCCCCGCCCGCTTTTGTAGCAATGTGCCCCCTGCCCCGCTCGCCTCTTCCCGCTTGTCGCCCTTGTCTCTGCCTCCCATCCCCGCGTTTCCTGCATTTCAGAGCACGCACGAATACACATCCGCTCTCCGCGTGTCTGGCCCCGCGCTCCCCGCAGCGCGTGAGTTGCCTGTGCGCCTGAGCACCACCACAGCTCACGTATGGAAGTAGAGGGCGGCGGACTCGGGGGGGACATCTTTCCTTTTCTCGCGTCGTGCCCGCTTGCCCTCGTCTCTTCCTCTTTTCAGGGTACTTTAACTCCTCCTCCTCCTCCTCCTCCTCCTCCTCCTCCTCCTCCTCCTCCTCCTCTCTCCTCCCTCCTCCTCCTCCTCCTCCTCCTCCTCCTCCTCTCCTCCTCTCTCCTCCTCTCCTCCTCCTCCTCCTTTTCCCCTCCTCCTCCCTCCTCCTCCTCCTCCTCCTTTCTCCTTCTCCTCCTCCTCCTCCTCCTCTCTCCTCCTCCTCCTCCTCCTCCTCCTCCTCCTCCTCCTCCTCCCCCTTCTCCTCCTCCCTCCTCCTCTTCCCTCCTCCTGCTCTCCTGCTCCTCCTCCTGCCTCCTCCCTCTCCTCCCTCCTCCCTCCCTCCCTCCCTCCCTCCCTCCCTCCCTCCTCCTCCTCCTCCTCCTCCTCCTCCTCCTCCTCCTTCTCCTTTCTCCTCCTTTTCTTGCCCCGTCTGCCGCCTCCTCGCCGTTGCGCCCCCGTTCTCTCCTCCTCGTGCTCCTCCCCTTCCCCCGTTCCTCTCCCCCGCCCCTTCTCCTGCACGTGGGCATGGCGCTTGGGTACACGCGTCACGTCATAT